GGCAGGGCGGCGGCGGGTCGCGGCGCTGAGCAGCTCAAGGACGGGGCGGTCCCGCTCCAGGCCCCCGCCGTGAGACTCGCAGCTGCAGGTGGGATAAGCTGCTCGGTTGGTGCCTCCCTGGGTGCTTCAGGGCGAAATGAATCGCCTCCACAATGCCGTGAACATAGAGTCCGTCCGTGAGCTCCGCAGGAGCCACGTGCTGGGTTTCCCCCCACCACCGTCTGCTGGCAGCGTGAGCTGGGTGCGAGTTCACAGCTGCAGTTCAGTAAACCCGGGCCAGGAAGGCCCCACGGCTCGCCATGCGGGGCAGGGAGAAGGAGGAGAGCTCCAGGAAGGGCAGCTCCTAAGGTGCTGTCGTTCTGTGCTGGATGTCAGCCAGTTCTCCATCAGGCTGCATGTAAAATCCTGTTTGTCCTGGCATCAAACTGCTACTTTTTCTTACCGCAGGAAAGCTATTCTTGATCTTCCGGAATGAAAATGAAAGCACTGAGCAGTAATGCTGAGTGGGAGACACTATGAGCCCATTTTTCACCTGTAGAAGGAGAAGATGAAGATCTAGCAACATAGAACACACTCCTTCTCAGTCTGTCATGTTACCCTCTCCTGCTACTGCAGGAGAAGCAACAAACATGTTTGGGACAGGGAGAGAGTGATAGTTCAGAAAGTGCCAGGGTAACGTGGCCGTGGATTTAGGGCAGCTGTCTTGGTGGTTGCTGATAACCTGTCCCAGGAAGCAGGGATCACGCTGGAACTGGGACCCTTGCATGGATGATAGTGACTTCCATGTCAGAACCTCTGCCGACATGGAGGCAAGAGGGCTGGGGAAGAGAAGAAACAGCTGTCAGGCCAAGCACAGGCTGCTTGGAAGAGCAGCTGGGGTGGAACAGGCTGGAAAAGGCTTCAAGGGTTGTTTCTGTGGGAACAGAGTGACCATCCTGCTGCTTAATTCAAGGCTAAGGTAAAGTCATTTGGGCTAACTTAGCTCTTCCGTTGCAACCACAATCCTGTTCTCAGTTCCGGGCAGTCCTTGCCTGAAGAAACCAGAGTGTCCAGTGTTCCCCCTTTCTGCAGAATTCAGTTCCTAAAAGACAGCCAGCATACCCAAGCCTCAAAGTCAAGGAGATGATGTGCAGGTGTAACCAGAGACTGACCATCCTCCTCAGCAAAGGAAGCACCATTACTTGTGGAGACAAAGCAGCACAGTTCAATGGATGGAATTCCACCACTTTCACACCCAGAGCTGAGGTGTGAAACATCTGTGTGTGGGGGCATGAGCACCTGTGTAGCCAGTGGTTCTCTGTATCTGCTCCCTCACATCTGGGGGATTTGGAACCAGTGAATTGAGGTAGGTTGCAGCCCTATTGATCTTTAGGCTCCCGTCGATTGCAGTCCACACAGCAAACTCCTACAGAACTTGGGGAGGGGAATGCCTCTGCCTTCCACCTCAGATCACTCTGCAGCAGAAAAAACGTTTCCATTTGCTTGAGGGCACTTCGAGGGGCAGCTAAGATTCAGAAGATTGTTTGTGAGAGTATTTTGATACTTTGAAGCAAGAAAATAAAAGAATGGATGGTGGCAGTGTTATTTATGCAAGAATTTGGTTCCTAAACTGTGTTCTCCATATAGACCCTGAAATGGGCAGCATGGAGATTTCTGCTGGATCTAGAGTGAACATCAGCTGTGCATCCCTTTCAAGAGCTTACTCTTCCCTGACATGTAACTGAACACTGACAACAGGAAATCATGTTGAGAGCTGGAGACAGCCTTCTGCCCCCTTAGTGACTCCTTCCTCATCGAAAAATTATTTGGAATGAAATTCCAAACAAATCATGCTAACATGCGGTAGAGATCTTGCTAAATCTTCATTCTAGCAATTCCTGTGAGCATTTCCATCATTTAATAGTTTTATGTCTCTGTTACAGAAAAGGTTTTGATGTTCTGTAAGGGTTTCCAGTGCCCTTGGTATTTCAGAGTGGATATTTGTGCAACTGTTACTTGCTTCCCCTTCTGGGAAATGAACCTCACAGCCTGCCCACATTCCCCCAGGGCTTCACTTACTGATGAGAGCTATTACTGTAACAGATGAAGTCAGCACAACTCTGAAGTAATGTCATGAATCAAAACCAAGTACCTCCTGCCTTTGCCAATGCAAACTCTGGGGTTTACTTGCCTCTTTCTAGTAGTGTCAATGCTGCTTACCTCTGCACAGGTGAGAGGCATTACATAAGAATCTTAGACAAAGCTTGGCATCTCAGCCTTCTTAACCTTCGTATGTGTTTAATGCTATTAAGGTAACTTTATTCTTAAATATTGAATACAGTTCCTGGAGGCTTTTCTTTTCTGATGTCATTCCTGTTTATCCAGTTCTTCTTCCCATGACTGGAAGCAAAATCTCCCCAGCAAACAGATCTTGCTACTGCGCCACATCCCCCTCAGATCCCAGCACAGTATTTCCTCTGCAGCCAGTTGGCTGCCAAAATAGCCCCTGCAGCCAACCCCTACATAGTCCAGAGGAAAGTCTCTTACAAATTCAACCCAGAGCTGAAAGGCAAGGCAGGCTTCCTCTGGCTAACCTCTCCTCTTCGATGAAGACATGAATGAGAATATTGGCCAGTGTTTCTGGTGGAGCTGCATGAGCCAGGACATGTACAAAGCACAGGTCACATCTTCCAGCTCAACTAAAGGGTCAACATAGCATTTAGGGATATGCTGTAGTTGGGAACTCTCAGTGTTAGGTTAATGGTTGGACTGCATGGTCTTTTCCAACCTAGATGTTTCTGTGTGATTCTGTGAAACAAAACATACCCCTACCTTATCTTAGTCATGGAAGCCAGCAGAAGCTCTCTTCATCCTCAGATGCCTCACTGGTTTTAAGCTTGAATTTCTTTCCCTGAACTTCAAGTTATTAAGTAGTGGATTTAGAGGTTTCCTGTATTTCACAAAAGCATTTCCTAATGATTAATGCTTCCAACAAGCAGCTTGCTGACATAAAAAAAAATGTATTTTCTTTTTCTTGTTCCCTTGGCTGCTGTGAGTTAGTTCATTTGGTATTACAGTGGTATTACAGTAGGACTTGATTTGTCTTTTTCCTTGCATAAAATTTTATTGAAAGTGTGAATTGTAAAAGATGTTTGAATGAGACAAAGTAAAATCCTTTTTTTTAAATTAAAGGATGTTAACATTTTCTTCTCTTGCCCAGCCACAGATTTACAAAATCTTGGAAGTTCAGTGGCTCCTGTAGAAATGCTTAAATTGAAGCCTTTTCATTCCTCTCCTGAGGTCGGTTTTCAGAAGAAACAAGACATTTGTGTTCATGCTGTCGGCACGCACCTCGGTTTCCTCTCAGTAGTAGTGGGATGCCTTGGCCAGTTCCAACTTCCTTTGCAGCAGAGGTCAAGGCCCTGCAGCAAGCCAGTGCAGCTTGTGGCTCGGGAGCTGCAGTCCCCAACATAATCTATAGCCCAGGGGCAAAATTGGCTGGTCCAACTGCCTTGGCCAAGGCAGATGGAGGGTACTGCGGTGAGGCATAGCACAGAAAGGAAAAGAAAACTGGCGGGCTGTTACAGAGGTTGAGGTAGGCGATATGCGAGAGTTCTGGAGGAGCACGTGTTGGCTAGCTGTGACTTCACAGCGCGAGTTGAGCGAACCTGGTAGAAGAACTGTAACTATGCGGAGAGCTGGGCTGCACGTGCCCGCATTTCCTAAAACTCACAGACAGGACCAGCCTTGGGTGCGGCAGAAGAGCGAGTTACCTCGGCCCTCCAGGAGACCCCCGGGCCGGGGGGGGCCGGGCCGGGCCGGGAGGGCGGAGTAGCCGCACTACAGCTCCCGGCGTGCCGCGCGGCGGGGGCGGCCCTTG